TTCTCGAGATTTAATGTTGTTAAAGAGGTAATTCTGCAAAGTGCCCATGCCAATGCATTCACTTCTTCTAACCCGAGCCCATTCGAAGTAAGATCCAATGACATCAGTGTGGTGTTCTTGCAAAGTGCATCTATTAATGATTCTTCACCTCCAATATTATTGTCTCGAATATCTAAATCTTCTAGAGTAGTGTTCTTGCAAAGTGTTTTGACTAATGCATATCCTCCATTTAATTCAAGTTTATTATGTCTGAGATCTAACATTGTTAATGAGGTGTTCTCGCAAAGGGCATCTGCTAATGCTTTTCCTCCTTCGAAACTGAGATCGTTATTATAAAGATTTAATATTGTTAAAGAGGTGTTCTTACAAAGGGCATTAGCTAATGCTTTTCCTCCTTCTGATCCAAGATTATTCTTCTAAAGATATAATATTGTTAAGGAGGAGTTCTTGCAAAGAGCATCGGCTAATGCCCTCCTTCGGATCCAATTTTATTACTATTGAGATTCAACGTTGTTAAGGAGGTGTCTTGCAAAGGGCATCTGCTAATGCTTTTCCACCTTTGGATCCAAGCTCATTACTACAGAGATACAACATTGTTAACGAAGAGTTCTTGCAAATCGCATCAGCTAATGCTTTTCCTACTTCGGATCCAAGATTATTACTTTCAAGATTCAACTCTCTCAGTGTAGTATTCTTGAGAAGTGCCTTTATTAGCTTGTTTATTTTTAGCACGCTACATTTATTAGAAGAAAAATCCCATATTGAAGCATTTTTTTGATCTTCAAGGCTATGCTGGCTGTTTTCGAGGATTTCTTTAAAAATTTCTAATGCTTTGAGAAATTTGCCTTGTTCAAAAAATTCATGTGCCTTCTTTTTCAAATCTCAAGGATATAGCCATTATTCGTTAATGTATTTGAATCATGTAAGTAAAGTGAAGAAGATGTAATTTAAAATGTACTAGTATTGTCTTGACATCTTGAGGAAATTTCGATATTCTCAGATAATGTCAAAGTTTCATCAGGAATAATTTGTTTTAAAGTATTAAGAATTAATCTTGTTTCTGGACGATTGGCAGGATCATTGTCCCAACATTTTTGGTAAAGTTCAACATATTGAAATGGTGTACCTTCTATAGAAACTTCTCTATTTCCTTGGAATATATGAACAGCAAGCGTAAGTGCAGATTCAAAGGATAAAAATGGAGGTCTTCCACTAGAAATTTCCCAAAGGATTTGTCCAAAGCTATATACGTCAGATCTCTTATCACGTTTATATCCATGCTTAAAAAGACATTGAGGTTCGATATATGCCGGCACTCCATGAACGATTGAGTTTGAGGTCATAGACATTTCATTCATCTGCTTTGATAGTCCAAAATCTGTAATATTTGATTGTTTTTGATGAATTAAAATGTTTTTAGAATGCTAAATTATTATAATAAATTTAATGATTAACGTACGTATTAGTAAATTAATAACAGATAGCTGGTGAATATAAAATCTATTATAGTATTAAATATAACGTAGTACTTACCAGATCTCTATGAATAATATCCTTATCATGTAAAATAAAAGTCCAAGTGCTATTTCCTTAGCAATGCGTAGTTTATCTGCCCATTGTAATTTTGGAAAATTTGCCATTAAGTATTCTCGTAAAGTTCCGTCGTCAGCGTATTCTAAAACCATATTATAATATCCGTGGTTATCTATATATTAGATATGATAAATATTATTGTTCGTTTAGCATATTATTATATGACAACTTCAATTGCTTGTTTACCTTTCGTAACTCCATAAAATGTAGTAACGTTTGGATGACACGAAACTCTTCGTAATAGTTTAAGCTAATTATATTATATGAAGTATGAGAATGTTTTATTCTATGGTAGAACGTAATTAGGGTTCAACAGGACCCCCCCGAACAATCTATATGCATCATATTTGAAAAATTGCTAATATAGCACTTTTTTTAAAAAAGGTTATGTTTTAAGAGTAAGTATTGAGTAAAAAAGTTATATATTTGAAATTATGCTAATAGAATAAATACTATAAATTTTGTATTTGAAATGCGCTAATAAAAAATATAAAGATCTGTTTTTTTGTTTTTTTTTTAGAGAATGTTGCATAGTAAGTTTATATTTTTTTTAGAGAACATACTTATATTTTAAAAAGAATAAAGACTAATATAAGCTCATATAGATTATTTAGGGACCTGGTTCAACATAACAAATTAATACCTCATCAATAAAATCCTTAATGATTTTTTCATCGATGCTATTATCAACTTTAAGACATTTAAGAGCAACTGTTAGTTCGTTATCTCTCCACTCATATTTAAGAACGTTTCCAAAACCTCCAGTGCTGATCTCATTAGGGTCTGTAAATTTATTAAATTCAATATAATCAATGTGCCCTTCGGAAATAGTTTTTTCAAGCCATTCTTCTGATTTGTTTGCCATACTAATCTTTGACGAAAAAACAACGTTCGTGCGTATACTAATCTTTGTTGAAAAACAACATTCGTGGGTATATTAATCTTTGTCGAAAAACAACTTTGCGCATATACTAATCTTTGTCGAAAAACTACCTTCGTGCATATACTAATCTTGAAAACAATTCATGTGTATACTAGTCTTTGTCGAAAACAACGTTCGTGCGTATACTAATCTTTGTTGAAAACAACGTTCGTGCGTATATAAATCTTAGTTGAAATACAACGTTCGTGCGTATACAAGATTTATTCAGTACTGAAATAGTTTTTTTTTACATATGTATTACATTCCACGGCATTTTAATTTTATCAAATCTAAAGTATAATATGCCTGATATGTAAATATATATACCCTCCTAACTTCATCAAGAAGATAGCCCTGATCCTACCTAAATTTCACTCTGCTTTAACCTCTAAAATTAGAAATTTTATGTTACATAAAACAGGTAATGATTATGAGAAATAATGAGTTTTGTATCAACGCCAATCAGCTTTAAGAATTTGCTTTCGATTTATTCTCTAGTAAAACCATCCTGGTACATCCTGGTATATCAATTATGACTGACCAAATGTCGTAAATTTATATTATTTTTGGTTACCCGCATGAAAATGTCATAACGATAATTAATTTTCTCATTTAAATCACATTCAGATCATATTTACGGATCTGAAAAATGTTAAAGCGTACAACCCAGAAATAAATGGTAAAAAAATGAAACAAACTTATCTGTGAATTAATCGGCTGTAAAAATATCCTTACCGGTAATTAAATTCTCTGCGATAGTAATAGAGTTAATACATCTATCCGGATATAGCGGGCTTTATTATATTGGATGATCAACAAAAAATGTTGCACAATATGTTCTACATAGTGGCGTAACGTTTTGCAGTTACAAAAATGGTTTGGCAGCCACGGATACGAATTGGCCAAACTCGATGCTAAAAAAAATCGAAGGAATACCTTCTGGTCAAAGTAATTTGGTAATCCACGAAGTAATTTGGAAGTTAGATGAGAGGTAAGTTTGAATGTTTAAGTTTAATAACATATAGGCATATTAAATCAATTAAACCCGGCAATTTAAGCTGTCTTTTACGTATTTTATGAAAGCTTATTCTTTGTAATCTCAACTAATATAGAAACCTGATTATAATATAGGTTAAGAATATGAAGTTGAAGGTCATAAATAAGGCTTGTAGATTTCATGAGAAGAGTTAAAGTAAAATAGTGGTTTGTACTTTAGCTGTACAGAGTTTGTATAACTAATTATTACACGTTAAAGAAATAATAACTTTACTATGTCAGGCATTGTTATCAAATTGGAATTGGCGCGTGACAAAAACTATATACAAGAAAAGAAAAATAATATAAAATAGAAATAAAATAAAATAAAATAAACCAATTTTATATGATTTATCAAATTTTACATTTAGCCTATAACAACATGAAGATTATTATACGTATAACAAACGCGTTACAAATTTGAACACGCGCGCGAGCAAATAAAAAATTACTAAATTACATTTTTTGATACGGTCATCATGATTCTTATGCAGATGCATCGAAAAGTAACTATTTTTGGTAACTTTATATCATTTGCATAGACACTAAAAGTCCTTCACTACGCCCCGGACAAATTTTTTAATCGCCTGTAACACAAGCATACAATATTGATAAGATCAATTAAATAATCAAATGCTTTTCTTACTTATAGAAGTTAGTATAGTTGTAACCTATTTTCGAAAAATAAAAAAAGTATTTGATTATTTTTGTTAGTGGAATTTTATAACTTTCAATATACTTCTTTTTTTTAAAAAAAAAATAAAGTACTTTAAAATGTATAAATAACGTAGAATTAAATTGAAACAATCATACGAAAGTCTTCCTGAGATTAAATTGTAAATAAAAATAATTATAACACATTAGCAATCAAAAATATAATAGAAAATTCCATTTTATTGAAAAAATTTAAAAAATAAAAAAAATAAACGTATTGATTGATTAAAAGAAGAAAAAGTTGTTGAAATTTTTCTTGAATTATTACCCCTTTAAGCACCGGATTTAAGATTTATAGTTATCAATAAATCGAAAAAAATAATGGAATAAAGTTACGTTGACATCCTTATAACGAGGTAAAAAAATGGTGTAAAGAATAAAATGTTCTATAATTTCATGTAATACGTATGAAACACGTTCTAAGTAAAACAAATAGAAATTATTAGTTGATGGTTTTATTTTGAAGAGGTTCTTAAATGATTATTAAATTTACCTGCTGTCATTTATATTGTCTATCTAATCACACCGTTTATTGCTTTATGCATTTATCTAATTCAGACTTCACATGTTCGCTCTAAATAAAACAAATGGAAATTATTAAATGATAGTTAACAGTATCCTGATTATTAAATGATTATTAAATTCACCTGTATGTCATTCATAAATCTATTATCCACCCTATTATCATACTACTTATTGCCTTATTATATACATTGCATTCAGATTTTACATCTTTTCACTCGCTAATTGTTTTTACTATGTGTAATAAGACATCAGAACTTTCGGTTGAAACTCTTTGAATAAGATTTTCTAAACGAACATTACGATAATCCCAGAAAATTTTAAATTTCACAAGTTGAAAGAGTATATACATTAATTCACTCTCCACCTCTTCAATTTTCTCTATAACATCAGTACTAAGCATCGTTACACTCTCTAATTCTCTATTTAATTTTTCCAAGATTTTATAGATAATGACACTTTTGTAGCATTGTAGCATACAAAATTGCTAACAACATAGCAATAAACAAACTTATCAACAATCTCTTTACAACTGGAATAGCAAGTTCTACACAAAAATTTTTAAGTTACATTATAAAGCCAACCCAACCTTAGCCACCATGTCTCGCATTATTGGTAAGTTGTGTAGCAAAATTTTTAAAAATAGCTCATGATAGAAGTTACAATAATTCTAATGTAAACCGATTCATATATTCCATATAGCAAGTTCTGTAAAAATACCAATGAAATTAACTCAACCACATACTGTGTATACTGTAACAATCGATAATTCCGTAATAGAAATTTTTACAATACAATAATTGATTAAAATGCTAAATAAGACGGGTAGTTTTTATTAGTGCTTCAATCAGCAATCCGACTAATTCGGATTGATCCGATAATTCGGATTAAATGCGGTTATCCTTATTCGTTAATTCTAAACGGATAGATCCGTAATATATTTAGGATTGGGATGAGGATTATTCGGATCATAATCCTTACTAGATCATAATCCTTTCTAGATCAACACATGGGATCTTTGCTATCAAAATGACCCTCCGAGGCTATGTTGATCTTATTGAATAAATAAAGTTTATTCAAATTGGATTACTAGATGGCTGGCAATTTTAATTTTTATTCACAAGATCAACATAGCCTCGGAGGATCATGATATTGGTTCTGATTGGTCGTTGCTTATGGAAAGAAAATGGGATTTAATATGAACGACCATACTACGCATCACCATAGACCCCTTTTTGTGATATGGTCACCCTACCGGTAATTTGAATTTTTTCAAATTTTTTTTTTAAAAAAAAATAATTAAATAAATCTTATATATTAAAACTAGGCGCTAGAGTTGCTTAAAGGGAGCTTGAGATAAATATAATAATACCTGATATTGTATAATGCAGCACAA